TCTTCGTTGTGCGCTGGCTTGTCCTGTGATCGGCACCTCTCCCTTGCCATGGAACCTCCACGGTACCTCCACAGGACCTCCACAGGAGGTCTGATCACGTAACTGCGCAGTAGTTTGCCCCAGGGCAAACAGCCACGCTTCTCCTCTGCAGTTTCCTGCCCGTGTGACCGGGGTCTAAGTTTGGTTTTTTAAAAAGCTTCTCCAGAAAATTGGCCTTTTCCCACTATGCAAAGAGGATAGCTGATGGGTCACCTCACTGTTGGATATTGTAGCTCTGCATGCAAGAGGATCTGGGAGGAAAATTCTCTCACTCAGATATACTTGGCAGTTGGCCCCACCCTCTCATCAGTTAGATGCTCAGTGTCTTTGGCCCTTGATTGCCTTCAGTTTGGTGTAGTGGTTAGGAGCATGGACTCTAATCTGGGAGAACCGGGTTCGATTCCCCACTCCTCCACATGCAGCTGCTGGCATGACCTTGAGTCAGTCACAGTTCTCTCAGAGCTGTTCTGGAAAGAGCAGTTCTCAAAAGAGCTCTCTCAGCCCCACCTACCTCACAGGGTGTCTGTTGTGGGGAGGGGAAGGGAAAGGAGATTGTAAGCTGCTCTGAGACTCCTTCAGGTAGTGAAGGGTGGGGTATAAATCCAATCTCCTCATCCTCCTATAGGGCTTTTATTTTTGTTTTTATTTATTTTATTTCTCTTGTTACCATTTGTGTCAGATCATCATTGTAATTTGTTTTAACAGCATTTTCCCCTTAACCAGGAAATGGGGGGGGGGGGAGAACAGGGATATTGTGTAAAGTTTCTGTGCTTTGAGGGCAACTTTTCTTTTAATAACCCAAATTATTCAAGGGGCTGCAAAACATTTTTTCCTATTTACTCGAACCTTGGGGAGTTTTAGAAGAGAGTGTGAACTAGGTTTCCTGATATTTTGATACCATTTGGTTAAAAAAATCCAGTCAGGAAAATCTGCCATGGAAAACTATGGGCAGACATCTGATATGATCTTAATGAAAATAGAAATGGAACCCAGCAAGTCAACAAGTAGAACCCAATATGAAACAACATTTCTGCAACTTCTTAAAATGGACAGGCCTTCCCTTTCTTAAATTATAACATGAAATTAAAAAAATAATTTGTCCCTCTTAACCACAAACACAGGACGAATTGTCCTTTCCAAGATTGATCAAAGTGGACTGACTATATTTGATAATGACTTTTGCATAATAGTATTATTTGGATTTAAGTAGCATACTCTGTTCACAAGAATGTGCTATAGCACAAGTGGAAATTGTCTGCATTTCCTTTCTTTTTCATGAAGTTTCAGGAACCTGATCCTGTGCATTTGAAGAAGAAAATGCTTGGCAAGTGTGTCCTGGAAAACTGTGTTTACAGATCAAACTTCTAATCCAGAGTCAATTTACTGCATTGTCAGAATGCCCATCTTTTCCAGACTAAAGTCTATTGGAGTGTGAGACTCTGGGGACTCTTAGAACTTTGATGTCCTGTAGTTAAACCTCTTCAAATGCCACAGTTCCTGCAGGTCTTTTGCACACTTCCTCCTTTTTCTCTTTATGTGTGACATTTGGGGAGCTGAAGCTGCCTTTCCCTAGCTAAGTGTGTGACATTTGCCACCTCCCCAACTAAAATTACCTCGACAGGAAAATAGTAAGAACAGCTGTGGCGGCAGGTCCCCAGAAACTCTTTGTGTCTTTTAGGTAGCATTGATTATTGAGATGTAAAACGAAGGCAAAGCTCTAGATTAAATATTAAATACCTTAAAGTTTGTGAATCATCTTCAACTACTTGCCCTCTAGGCATTATTCTATAGAGCGTACAAGTCTTGTCTGGCATACTGTGGTCTGGTATGCACAAGTTAATCCTGGGGTGCTGGGCACAAGCTATATTCCATTGCTACCAATTGATATTTTGAGCCTATAAAACATCTAGCTATTCAAACAATGACTAGGTGTTATTTGAAATAAAGTGAAAGGTCACTCCTATAAAAAAAGAGAATGTTTTTGCTGGAAGTACATGAATCAAATGGTGTGGCAGATATAAGCAAGGAATATGACCACCTGCTACAGGAACTACAAAGTCTTCTCTGAGCCAGTTTGGTGTAGTGGTTAAGTGTGCGGACTCTAATCTGGGAGAACCGGGTTTGATTCCCCACTCCTCCACTTGCACCTGCTGATGTGACCTTGGGTCAGTCACAAGCTCTGGCACAGCGGTCCTTGAAAAAGAGCCATTTGTGTCAGAGTTCTCTCAGCCCCACCCACCTCATAGGGTGTCTGTTGTGGGGAGGGGAAGGGAAATGAGTTTGTAAGCCGCTCTGAGACTCCAAGTGAAGGGCAGGATATAAATCCAATCTCTTCTTCTTCTACCATATGTGTTAACTGGTCAAGAGGCAGCGCAGGAGTCCATTCAGACAGGTCAAGAGTGATGGTTGTGTCCCTCCTTGCTGTCAGTGGCAAATTGGGGGGGGGGATTTTAATTTTCCTGGGAGTAAGCCCCATTGAACAGAAATGAACGCATTGCTGAGTAGACCTGTTTAGGATGGCACTGTTAGTGATTTGCTTAGTTAGCTTCTATGCTGCCTTTCAACTTTAAAAAGGTACCCAAAGTGGAACAAAGAATTAAAATAATAAAAAAAGTTAAAAACAAATTCAGATCAATGTAAAGAGGTTATAGGTTGCTGCATAGGTCAAAAGCAAAACCCCCAGAACAAAAGCCAGGTAATGCCTTTTATTTATTTATTTATTTTGCCATCAAGTCACAGATGACTTCTGGTGACCCTGTTGGGCTTTCAAGGCAAGAAACATTCAGAGGTGGTTTGTCATTGCCTTTCTCCACATCATGAGCCTGGTATTCCTTGGAGGTCTCCCATCCAAATACTAGCCAGGGTCAACTCTGGCTAGCTTCCAAGATCATGCTATCCTGGGCTGTCCAGGTGAGGGCAACATCTTTTACTAGGACCAACCAAAATCACATACATTGACATGAAAGTTTTTGAATTATCCAGAACTCTTCATCAGGCTGGAGGTTTGATGGCAGGGAGGGGGTGGTGGTGGAGAGATGCTAGTAAGACCTTGGCTTGTCAGCATGCTGTGATACGTTTACCAAGTCTGTAGATTTAAAATGGTGCTGGCATCACATTGCACCCTTGACCTTCTGGAAGTAGAAGCAAAATTTAGAAGGATACAAAACAAAAAGGCTACTTCAAGCCATTTTGGGTTTTACAGTCCAAAGGCAGCAACTTGAATGAAGTTCAGAAACAAACTGGGAGGCAGTACAATATTGATTTTACATGCTCATTGCTGTAGCTACAGAAAATGGCTGTCCATCTATCAGGGCAACCAAGGTAGTTTATGTACTATGATGGAATCCAGATTGAAAAGGATCATATCTAGGTCATTTTGCTTCTCAGAGGCTTGTTGGCATGCTGTAGGCTCACGTCACTGCTCTCTTCCCTTTCATTTGTTATACTTGCTTCCAAAATTGACAAAAGAGATGAGTCATCTTTGATACTAATTGGTGGACCGTCCAGGTTTCCTTTCAGTGCTAAAGTGGAGGCAAAATCCTTCTGCCCCAACCCCACCCTTTCCTGGCAGAAAATTGATTTGCCAAACTGTTGATTGGATAATGCCAATGTTAGAGTAGTATCTTCTGTGATGTGGCTTGTCATATCTATGCACCATCATCTCTGTGTGGTCATGCAGGGTTTGCAAGTGAACGGAATGCATTCCCAAACCCTGTTAGCTGGGGTGGGGGTACAACAATTACTGCTCCATAGCAACAGGCAGCAGATCACACAACCTTATACCAGTGACATGACACACCTTCCTGGTAAGTTAAATGCCAGTGCAGCTGCATCCAATATGTGGCAGAGAAACAGGCAGAGGAGGGACAGAGCTAGATAGGCCTACAGCGTACTCACCTGCATGAACACCTTTCAGCCAAAGAGAGCTGGTTGGTTACATCAGCCCAATGCAACACATTGTAGCACCTTATTAAGTGATCCCAGTTCATATGCAGTGCAGCAGGATAGGCATACATACACCATTTTGCTTTGTACAGGACTCCACTGAACTTAACAGGCCACAGCACTGCAGCAATGCTTCTGTATAAAAGTGCTCCCCAATGGCAGCGGTCATCACTGACAACTAAGGGCAATATCCGGTAGCTCTGATTTCTGGGATCATCACCTAGAGGACAGGCAGAGGAACAATATGGGCCAGTACAAGTACAGCTTGAAGTGGAAGGATGTCTTTTATTCTGGATGCTTCTCACACTCCTGTGCCTGCTCCTGAGGGAATGGGACAGTATTGTCCACATCAGCCCTCAAATAGAATGGTATTTGGACTGGCCAAAACGAAAAGAAAAACAACCGATCATCCAGGATCAAGAGCCATAAAAAGGGACTCCTAAGGTGCCAAGGCAGAATCTCCAGCGGTCTGGAAAGCCCCCCCCCCTTTTGCCCTAATGGTCATTCCATTTGAGCCCACGACTCTCCAGGTCTCCAGGGGGTCTCTGCCCGCGCCTTTCCCCCCTTTCGTCTTTCATCAGGCTCCCAGCTGGAACCAGTTCAGCTAGCAGCTACTGCTGACGCCCGATGCAATGCTGGTTACCTGAGCTGAGAAACCACGTGAGCGCCACATCATCTGGGCTTTTGAGCCTGAAAGTCAGAGAAAGGAGGAAGCAGGAAAAGAAGGCGCCCCAAAGACGGAGAGGGGCTCGCTCCGATTCGCCGAAAGGCTGGCGAGGCGAGGGGCCCGCGCGCCAGCATTGTAAGGAGGGAGGGTCTCCAACGCAGCTTTGCCGCGGGCTGCTAGAGGCCGCCCGGCTGAGCCGCGGCTGCCTTCCCGCCTCCTGGTACTACTACCCCGCGCGCGCGCCACTCACCCGCCGCCTCCGAGAGCCCGGGCGAGGAGCCGAGCGGTGGCTCGGCGGCGGCGAGGCGGGCTGGCGCTCGGGGCGGCGGCGAGGCGCTGGCAGGGAAAGATGCTGCAGTCGCTGGCCGGCAGCTCGTGCGTGCGGCTGGTGGAGAGGCACCGCTCCGCCTGGTGCTTCGGCTTGCTGGTGCTCGGCTACTTGCTCTACCTGGTCTTCGGCGCCGTGGTCTTCTCGTCGGTGGAGCTGCCTTACGAAGACCTGCTGCGCCAGGAGCTGCGCAAACTGAAGCGGAGCTTCGTGGAGGAGCACAAGTGCCTGTCGGAAGCGCAGCTCGAGAGCTTCTTGGCGCGCGTCCTGGAGGCCAGCAACTACGGCGTGTCGGTGCTGAGCAACGCCTCCGCCAACTGGAACTGGGACTTCACCTCGTCCCTCTTCTTCGCCAGCACGGTGCTCTCCACCACGGGTAAGGAGCCGGGCCGGGCCCAGGCCCCGCCAGCCCACCCTTCCCTCGCAGCTTCAGCTTGGGGCCTTGCGGTGCCCGCCTGGAGGCCTTCGCCCCGGCATCTCTCGCTGGGATTAGTCTCGTGCCGGATGCAGCATGCCTGACCCTCATCTCGGCCTCTTGTCCCCTGTAGCTGCAGTTAGGGAGAAGGGCTTCCAGGACAGAGGACAGCCGGGCCTGGCTTCCACTGGGGTTAAGCCTCACCGCCTCTCACTCTAGAAAGTATTCTCCTTTTCTGTCAGCAAGACGCCTCTTCCCCCCCCTCCCCAAAGTAATTCCTCTTCTTTCTGTCCAACTGCCGGTCTTTCACTTTCTGTATGCCGGGTTCTACTTCTTTCAGCCGGGCGCAGGAATTTCGGGAGCATGTCTTGATATGCGCCAAGGTTCCCCCGAACCTGTTTTCAGTACCTGGGATAAATTCTGGAATATATGGTTTAATAAAGATGATTCTGAGCACATGTAGTGTCTTGCCCTCACTAGTAAGCAGCTACAGAATGCCCTCAAGTCACTTTGTTGATTTTGTGGCATTTTCCATGGATTCCAAAGATGGCTGGGCCCCCCAGTACCTCTTTGTTTAGACATTTAATCAGTGGAATTAATTCTTTTTAAAGATATAGTTTCCATTCATGACAGAATTGCAGTCCCCCCAAAAAACTATATTGACAAATTTGAAAGATGTGTTATCATTAAAATTGGTCTCTGTTTTTGCTTCAGTTGCGTAAAAACAGCATATGACATTGATGTGATGTAATAGTGGCATAGAAGCAACAGATGTATTTGCCAAAGAAAGGAGATGTGATGAAAATAGTCTTCATACACATGTACAAAAGATAAAAGGATCAACAACAAAACCCTATAGCCATACATTCCTAACTGAAACAGATTTTTCCAAAGGGGTAGAAGATAATGAAGTGTAGGAATGCATGAAGTTTAAAATTGGATTTGACTTGTATTGGTCCATAAAGCAAGTGTAAAAGCCTGCCCTGGCAGTATTATGCATATTTTAAAACTCACATTTTATCCCACACATGTAGAGATAGTATAAGGGAAAAGGGAGTCTTTGAGTATTCCATTTCCAGATAATTTAGGCTATATAAATCAAGACCAGCATTTTGAAATTGGGTCAAGAGACTAAACATAAGCCAATACACATCTTTCAGTACTGGAATAGGGTGCTTCATATAGACTGTACATGAAAGTGTTCTTCAGATCTAGATGTTCAGAGCCAGAAAAAACATCAGTGCTGTATTGACAGGCCAGTGTTCACCCAACCATGCCTACAGGAAGTAAGGTAATGCTTGTGTAATTTTGTTTTTCAGAAAAAATACTTCCTGTGTGTATGTTGAGATCCTGTGTGATATCTTACAGCAGTTGTGCATTCTTGTGCATAACTGGTTTAGTTCCTTAGTGAAAGACAAAGTTCTCATCAGGGATCATCTTGATGAAAAGTTTGGCACCCAAAGAACAGGACTTCCCTTTCCTGCTTCTTGATTGTAATGTAAAGAGAGTGATGCCAAACTAGAAATACAGTTTGGAAACCCTGTGAAAAAGAGATGTGACTTGTGTAAACCTCATTTATTTTAGAGGAACTTGTTCCTGCTGGGATTACTAGATTTCTATATTACGTAAAGATTACTGAATTATTTTGAAAACATACAGTACAAAAGACTGTATGTACATACAGTACAAAATAGAACTGAACTATAGTATTAAGGTGGCTTGAGGCACATATTACAGTATTTTGAATGATAAATGTTAGATTATTTGAAGTTAGGAAAAGCAGGGGAAGTATTCTAAAGTTACACTAACTTGGTTTTGTAAGGTGATATTACACACATTAGGATATATAGGGATTCTTTATATATGGCAGGTTTTGGTTTTAACAGTATTTTGGACATCTGGTTTCTTTGACGTCATCAGCTATTTAGGTGGAGTGAAAGGGGGGGGAAGGGAAAGAGACATGATTATCCTTTTCTAGATTTACTGAGCCCTTTCAGGTCAGGAATGAATGTTCTTATACCAAAAAGCTTGAGAATAAAAAGATGCCTTGGATTCATTTCAAGAGCATTCATGGGCTGTCTACCCAGAGGTATTACTTGAATATGTTTAAAAGAGTTGCCAGGAAGTTCAATTACAAGCTTACTTTCTTAAGTGCTACAGAGAGAAGAAGAAGAGATTGGATTTATACCCCGCCCTTCACTTGGAGTCTCAGAGCGGCTTACAAACTCCTTTCCCTTCCCCTCCCCACAACAGACACCCTGTGAGGTGGGTGGGGCTGAGAGAACTCTGACACAAACTGCTTTTTTCAAGGACAACTGTGCCAGAGCTTGTGACTGACCCAAGGTCACATCAGCAGGTGCAAGTGGAGGAGTGGGGAATCAAACCCGGGTCTCCCAGATTAGAGTCTGCACACTTAACCACTACACCAAACTGGCTCTCTTCAAAACCCTTCAAAAGGATAGAGACAGAAAGAGCATAAACTTTTGTCCCATATCTTTGGCTTGTCTGATTTCCAGTTAACTAGTGAAAATACTTTGCATTTAAACTTGAAATCCAACTGAAATCAGATTTCAGTCAGCTGATTTTCCTTTTGTTATGTTATGTGAAATATCCAAAGTCAGGGTTTTTGCAAGAGCTGAGAATCTAATTATGTTTAGAAAAAAATGTTTTCAAGTTTTATTTGACAGAACTAAAAAATTCAGAAGCCTCTTTTCATTATCATGAGAGTACAAGTTCTACAAGTCTTCTCAAAAGCAGAAAGTACCTCACAATGCTGATATGATTGCTAAAAGAAGGAAAGTTAGCTTCTTTGCTTCTCTCACTTTCTGAATAAGGTGACCTCGTGAGGACAAGCAAGTATTACATTTCCTGTTGCAGTGGAAAAACCGATTGCTCATCATGTGTGGCTGAAGGAGAAAAGCACACCCATAACTAATTCATCACATATTCATGATCTGTATAGTTTACTTGTATCTTGGCAGTTCTGTTGTGTGCCATGGCTTTTAGTGTTCTTGGTGTGTGTTGTTCTGAATCCTAAGCAGTCCAGTTCAGTTTGGAGTCCTTCATCCTAAATCAGGTTTCTCTTCATTCAGAATGCTTGCTCTTTTTTCAGAGTTAGGCTATGCTCCTTCAACCATTTAGCAGTCCTATAGAAACTTTGAGGCTACAACTGGATATAGCAATGATACTTGTGGTGTCAAATGTTGAATGATGTGAGTCAACCTGAAAGATCCAGGCCAGAGAACTGGATGAGAGCGGGGAAGGGATCCACATGATTTTTTTTCACATTTAAAGCTGGGTAAGTAGTCATGCTAGTGTGGGGAAGCTAAATCTTGCCATTTCCCTGGGCTTAACTTACTGAGTTTGGTTGCTTTCAACACATTCTTCCAACACAGCCCACTTTTGGTATTGAAGAGCGTCTGGGATGAAAGTGCTGAAAGCAACCAAGCATAGCAGACAAAGTGGGGGAGAAGGCAGGGTTTATCTTCTGTTTGCCTTTGTGCTCCTTTTTCGTTGAATGAAATAGACCCTCTCAATTAGACATGAATAGGTGAAAATGTGTATGGAAATATGTGCGGATCTTTGACTCTGACCTGCTGACACTGTATGTAAGCTTCAGTTAATTTCAGGTTAGACTGCATTTTTTCCAAGGATAACTCATGGTTAGTGGAGCTTTCCAAAATATACTATGCTTCTCTCCTCTGAAGATGACTTTCAGGTTGCATAGAACTGCTGGCCTTCTACAACAATACCCACTGCTTGTCACTTTGGGGGGAGGAGTTGTTATTTTTACCCCTTTGGATATTGAAAGTTTGTTGATAACATTAAATTTTGGCTACATCATAAGTTTAGTTAAGTATTTTGCAAAACACATAGTATTTAATGAGATTTAAGGGTAATTTTCTGCTAATGAAAGGCACTTGCATCAGGGAACAGAACTGTGATCTCTTCTCCTGTTCAGCCCTCTGACCTCTCTAAAATGTTGGCCTTGGAAACAAAGGGCTCTCATAAACACCATGCGTGGTGAAGTTGGAGGTCAGCTGTAGGAAAGGAAATCAGCAAAACCCTTCCACTTGTGGAAAATTCCTGCTTTTTTTTCTGCTGGATCCACCCCATTTTTATGTGAGATGGGGCTGGACCTAGAAAAAATGACACTCCCATCGAGGAATGCCTTTCACCCCCTCTCTATTTCCTCTGGATGTTCTGTTGCATTTCTTAGTTCATTTTACAGCCTTGATACATGATTGTATAAAATTCTAGAATCTATAAATCTGTATTTATCCATGCCATATATGAGCAAATAAAAAATAAATTTCTTCCACAAAGTTAATGGAAACTTTTTAATTTTAAGAATAACTGTGCTAATATCAAGAAATTGAACTGTGTACCAACTCTGGGAGAACCACACAATAGTTTTACAGTTAGCACATTGCCATCTTTGTGTGTGTGTGTGTATAAAGTGCTGTCAAGTCAAAATCGACTTATGCTGACCCCAGCAATGGGCTTTCAGGGCAAGTGAGAAGTACAATTGGTTTGCCATTGCCTTCCTCTGTAGAGTCTTCCTTGGAGGTCTCCCTTCCAATTACTGACCCTGCTTAGCTTCTGAAATCTGATGAGATCAGGCAATTCCATGCTGCCTTCTGCCATGTTTATAAAGGTAAAGGTTTCCCTTGCTCGAAAGCCAGTCGAATCTGACTCTAGGAGGCGTTTCCAAATTGAAGAGCTAGTGCTGTCCAAAGACTTCTCCATGGTCATGTGGCCAGCATGACTAAATGCATGGAACACTGTTACCTTCCCACCAAAGCGGTACTTATTTGTCTACTTGCAATTTCTTGCTTTCAGACTGCTAGGTTGGCAGGAGCTGGGGCCAGAGACGGCAGCTAACTCCATCATGCGGCACTAGGGTATCAAACTGCTGAACTATAGACTTTCTGGTCCGCAGCTCAGCATCTTAACCTCTG